GTTAAAGTGATTTTTAAAGGCGGTTTTGTCTTTTTTTATCTACTTTGGCTGAATTTTTGAAAAAAATATAGTAAATTATAGAAAAATCATAAAATAAAAAATCCAATTTTGTTGGACCCCACATGAGTAGATCTACCCATTGAACATTAATAGGGTATGCTTTAGTACAAATTTTTTACTGCAGCTTTATATCTATGTTTTTTGTAATTAATTTATAGCTGCAGTTTTTATGATCCACTTGTGTTGAAATTTTTATGGTGGGATAATTATTGTAGTAAAATTTTTTACTACAATAATCTATAATTAAGTTATAGATTATAATTAAGTTATATATGATCAAATAAGTATGAAATTTTACTGCAGTTCAAGCATACAATAATTAGCCCAGTATAAAAATTTCACCACAATTGAACCATAGAAAATGCAGATATGAATTAATTATAGAAAATCATACATCTAAAGCTACAACAAAAAAATTGTACTAAAGCATACCATATTATATGTTCACTATGTAGATCTACTCATGTGGAGTCCAACAAAATTAGAATTTTCTATTTTATGATGTTTCTGTGATTTACTATGATTTTTGAAAGTTTCAGCACAAAAAAAAAAGATAAAACTACCTTTGAAAACCGCTTATAACCGGTCAGGAAGGTAAAATGAATGGTTTTAAAAGTTCAGGACGTGATTTACCCGATTTTAGAGTTCAGTGAGTAAAAGCAGACTTTCAAAAAAAAAATTTGAGGTAATGTGACCTTTTTCCAAGATAAAAGTGGCGATCCTTTTTGTCGATTCAGTACTGTAAGAAGCTATTTGGGCCCAAACAGGTGACAGATAATGAACTTACACAAACAACAGAGCAAGTCCTGCCACACCTAAACAGGATATTTATATACGGTTGTGAAAGCTTGGTACAACTCTTCGTTCTCCCCCCATCACTCAGAATTGTTGAGATTTTTGAATGCCCAAGACTTGAATTCATATGGGGAATGGAGGAGCGTCATCAGACATGTACATTGCTGGAATTCTGCCGCGACACTGCTTCCACTAGTACACTTGAGGAACCGTCGTCTCCAGTTATTCGTTGTCCATGCCTAGAAGCTCTGGGGATAAGAAATTGTGCTAACTTGGTAACACTTCCAAATCTACCACCGTCCCTGAATAGTTTATCTATCTATCTATCTATGGTTGTGGGGAGCTCCGTTCCGTGGCAGGACAGCTGGGTGGACTCGAGGCCTGGTTTAGATCACCTTTAAATTCCAAGTTTTTTTACTCTCTCTCCATCACATTAATTTTTAAACACATGTATGGAACATTAAATATAGGTAAAAAAAATAACTAATTACACAGTTTGGTTGTAAATCACGAGATGGATCTTTTGAGCCTAATTAATTCATGATCGGACAAAGTTTGTCAAATACAAACGAAACGTGCTACAGTGTCCAGGTTGTAAAAATTTGCAATCTAAACCAGGCCCGAGATTCTATATATTTACGACTGCAATAAGTTGCAGTCAGTCCATTCCTTGGAAAACGCTTCATCACTAGAGACACTGTTTCTTTCCAGTTGCCAATGCCTTGCATCCTTAGGATCCAGCGGTGGTCCTGGGGCTTTCTCTGACCTTCGGCGACTTACTGCCCAGCTATGGATATGAAGCAGATTAACAAAAATGTGCTTGACGGCCTCTTACTGAAAGAAATATCACACGCTCGTTCAAGCAACACAGATGAAAGGTATACTGTTCATTTTTTTTCTTCTTTGTTTCCTTAAATATCTCTGCCTACCCTTTATATATGCTGTAAATCCGGACCATCTAAATTTTAATAATCAGGTCCAACCCTCCTGCATTTATTATTTATATCTGGTAGATTAGTTATACCCCACAATTCTAAATTATAAATCGTTTTAGCTTTTCTAGAGATATAGTTTTTGTTATACACTTAGATGTACATTATGTGTAGTGTGTAGATAAATAAAAGCAATGCGCCTAGAACGGCCAAAACATCTTACATTTTCCTGTGCAGCTGGACGTGCTGCTGTGTATGTATGAATAAATAAATGGAAGGAAACAAGCAAGTTTCCGAATTTTTTTTTCTTTCTAGAACCTCTGTAAACGATGCTGTTTTGCTTCACAGTTCACAGGCCTGGTAGCTGGTAGCTGGTAGCTGGTAGCTGGTACTCGTCCTTGGCCTCGAGGGTGTGGTGCAGCGCCGGGTGCTGTGTTGGTTCCAGTGGTTTAGAACCATCGGCCTGTTCGCTCGCTCGTATACGATCGTGGATTATAAGTTAGAACAATATTTTTTTCTCATATCAAACCAGCCAGCAGTAAATAATCCACGATCGTTTACGACGAAACGAACAGGCTACGTATTGCTTGTTCAGTTTGTTGCTGCAAGTTAGACATTCCTGACTTGCTGTTTCGCTTGTGGACTCGACCTGGGAACAAGCTTCATGTCAGGCCCAACCATATCATGTTTGACATCCGTTTGTATATATAATACTCCCTCCATCCCAAATTGTAAGTCATTCCAAGAATCTTGGAGAGTCAAACTTTTTCAAGTTTGACTAAAATTATAGAGAGAAACACAAAGATTGACGACATTAAATAGGTATAATATGAAAATATAACTAATGAAGAATCTAATGATACTTAGTTGGTATGATAAATATTATTATTTTGTTATATAAATTTGGTCAAACTTGAAAAACTTTGACTCTCCAAGATTCTTGGAATGACTTACAATTTGGGATGGAGGGAGTAAGATGAAATCATTATGTTCCATGATATTGCACCATCCAATTCTCAGAAGCGCGTATTAACAAGGCATTAGTACTCAGTAATAACGGGAACAGAAGAATGGCCACGGACATATGGTATGGGGTGGCGCTACCTTGGACTTTTCGAGTGACCGCGTTCCGTCTAGTAGGCCCATATATCGGAGCGTGGGCCTTGGTTATTCGTGATCCCGTGATGGCTCTTGAATTGTGTGTCGTGGGCTTAGCCCAGCTTCATGGGTGCGCGCGTCGACGGCCCCATGGCCCAGCAGCCTCACCCCGCTGGCGGTCGGCGTCGGCGAGAACGGAGCCGTGAACCCGTCGAGGCCGCGGCGGAACAAATTCATCACGTATTTCGTCCGGTGTTTTTGCTAGTATTTAATTTACACAATTTCTTCAATTTTTTAATGAGCAATTTGGTCATATGTAAAGTAGCAGTGCTCAGGAAATTGGAACTAGCTAGTTTGTCGTCACATACACTCGCAGGCTACCAATCCTTGTCAAAGAATCACTAAAGCGAAGACGATATACCATGGAAATTGCCCCAACACAAAAAACTTTGTAGAGTCAATGGTTAAGTTATATTGGTTACCAGATGTGTCCAAACTTACATCTTTCAATTTGCTAGTCTCAATGTTTATACTCTAACCACTACCTTTGAAAATTTGGGGCAATTGTCTGGTGCCTAAAGCCCTGTTTGGTTACCTCTCCTAAAAACTTTAGAAGCTAAAATCTAGATAAAATTTGCCTAAAGAACAAAACACCCTCTCCTAAAAGCTCCTAAAAACTTTAGGAGGGGCCAAAAACTTTAGGAGCTCCACCCCCTCCTAAAAGCTCCTAAAGTCCATCATGGACCTGGGGTACCCCTCCTGACTGCACGCTCCCCCACGCCCCCGCACCCACGTCCCGAACGCCGCCGTCCCCGCTCCCTCCCTCCTCCACACCAGCGCCCGCCGGATCCGCCGCCCCCACTCCCTTGCGCCGCCGGATCCGCCGCCCCGCTCCCTTGGAGAGGCCGAGCGTCGGGCCGGTGAGGAAGGCGAGCACGACGTTCGGCACCGGCTCCGCTCTAATCTCCACCGCCGCGGCGCGGCAATGTCCGCCGCGCGAGGACCTCTTCGGGTGGCCGTCCGTCCACCCCCTCCTCTACCGCCTCCGCGCGGCCCACCACCATGTCGTCCACCTCCGGCAGCCGCCCCGCCACTCCGTCCGCCGCATTCGTGTGCCCCATCACCCCGTCCTTCCGCCGGCGGGGCCAGAGGCCGAGGCGCCGGTGGCGGGCACCCGTAGCAGCCGCCGTTTGGGCGCAGGGAGGGCGGAGGCACCCGTCCGCCCCGCCGCACCGCGTCCTGCAGTGCCGGTGACCCTCCCCGCCATCCCTCATGGAGCCGGTGAGGGGGAGGCTTGAGCGAAGAAGCAAGAGGTCAGGGGGAGTGAGGGGGAGGCGGATCCGGGTAGCGCGGGCGTGCATCTGGCGACGGCGGCGGTGGATCGACGGTGACGTTGCCGGAAGAAGCGGCGGCGGCGGTGGAATGTGTGTGAGGCGTGGCTGCAGCATTTGAGGAATGGGGAGGAGACTGGAGGGAGAAAGAGTGGCGTGCGGAGCTAAGGGAGAAAGAGAGTAGCGCCAGGGGTAACTGGGGAGGGCATCTTGGTCCTTTTGCCACTGTATTTATTGCCTTTAGTCAGTTTTAGAGGTAGAACCAAACACATTTTTAGAAGATTTTAGAAAGCTGCCTAAAATTTTAAAAGTTTGGAACCAAACAGACCCTAAGTATACTCGATCTGTTGGTTCCTGTCATCCATTATTAATTTGCTCGCTCCTGAACAAACTCCAAACAAGGTTCGCGACAAGGTTGTATTTTTCTGGATGGATGCTTTTATTTCTCTAAATTTTCATTATACCATCCTTTTTTGTCTGCTTGTCTTCTTCAAACTTTTGTTTTTCACAAATCAATTGATGGTGCCTGGGTTGTTGGGACCAGGAACTCAGACTACCTTGCGGTTGCATTCTAGCCACTCATTTTTTTTTCTAATCTGAAATGTCGCTGTTGGTGGTAATACACATATAAAGAATCTCTCTAAGAAAACTTGTGGAGTCACTGGCGCCATCTTCCCCTCTTAATTAATGTGGTACCAAGCCGATCAGAACTGCAAGTGCAAAGATCCATCCTTCTTCCCTCTTCCCTCTTCCCACAACCCACATCTCCTAAGAAAAGAATCCCATGGCAAAAACATCGGAAGTTATTGCAGGCATAGCCCTGGGCATCCCAATAATGAGTTGGCTGCTGGTACCCATCATCACCTTTCTCGTGAACAAATTCTTTTCCATCCTCCTTAACGACACATCAAGAAAACTCAGTAACCTGGAGAACCTCACTATCCCAAGTCTGAAGGAGACTCTGATAGAAGTAGAGGAGCAGAGGATGCTTAGAGCAGCTAAAGATGTGAGGTCTGAGTCTGATTTGAGGACTCTCGATGGACTGGCGACAGAACTCAAATCTGCCTTGTATGAAGCGGAGGAAATCCTGGATCTGATAGATTATTATCGGATCGAGAAGAAAATCGTTGATGATGCCAAAGAGAATGGCAGAAGCTGGGTGCAGCAAATCCTCTGCGCTTTTGGCGCTTGCATGGTCCACTGCAAGGGAAGCAGCTGGGTGCAGCACCTGCACGGCGGCGTTGACTTTTGCATCACCTGCTGCAAGGGGAGCTTGTTCGGAAGATCAGGTGGGCAACTTCCAATTTCCCGTGCATCCTCCATTTCTGTGGTGCAGAGGCTCTGTGGCGGGTACCATATCGCCAACAGCCGTCGATCTGGGATGCAGTGGCTCTGTGACTGGTTCTGGCACCTCGTACTCAAAATCACCAACTGCTGTAGATATGGGGTGCCGAGACTCTGTAGCCAGTTCAGGCATCTCGTATTCAAATTTGCCAAGTTATGTCAATCTGGGATTCAGACGCTCTATGGTTTGCCAGCCGATGTGATTGCAGCTAACCAGGATTGGTCATATAAAGTTATTGGCATCAAAAGTAATCAGGTACCATCTTATCATTGTGACCAATTCTAGCTGCTATAATTCTGGCACCAGTTCATTAATGTTCAATTTCATCATGTTTCTTCTCTCATTCCACAAATAAAATTAATCGTTTTTTGTTAATTAGAAAGCGCCATTTTTGCTTTACTTGTGCAAGGAAAGGTTGGGTTAGCTTGGAAATCATTATGTTGAGTGGTGTGCTTGTCTTTTGAGATGGTTTGATTCTTTTCTTGGAATTGCATGTCATTAATTGAATTAAAATAAAATGTAGAAATGGTGTGAGTACAAGCCAAACGAATGGCTAGAAATAAATTTACAAGTAGCAACGGTGTGAGTATAAGTGAAACCCATGGCTGCAAAGTAGCTTGGAACATAATTCTTATATAGATATTCTTTTTTCTCACTATCATTTTGGAGGAATTGTGTACATCAACAAGACACAATAGATTCATCAGTTATACTCAGGTCAAAGCCTTGATAAAGAAATATCATTATAGAACTAGACAAGACAATAATGAGTGTTATTGGCACTTAGATGCAGAAAGTACCTGCCATGTGCAAAGCACAGATTCTGTAAAACCATCCCATTGAATGAAGAGGGTGCAAGGTGAAGCCGTGAAGGTGGAAGGGATACACTGATTTGCATGATCAATCATGTCCTAGCATCATATTGTAATTACCTTACACATCTACGATGAAGGAAGGCTGTAGCTAAAGTCTTGTTTCCAACACACTGAGCCTTATCTTTCCCATCTCCATAACCAGACATCAAGTTTCTGGAAAACAGATACCCTAATTTTTCCCATGCTGCCCTGTGCTACCTATTTTGGTTGCCATCTAAGTATATAACCAAGGCAGATGCGACATGATCATATGGCTCTGTCAAAGTAATGTTAACCCAAGCCTTCAAGGAATCTTAAACCATGGTGACCGGGATGTTCTTTATTTTATTAATTTGAATATTTCTAGATATTTCCTCTGATTAACATGGGGAGTATTATAGATAGGGAATTCAGCCCCATTAACATAATTCTTTTTTTATACGTTACTGGTCATCTTTAAAACGTCTGACTGCACAAATTGAAGAATGCCATATACCTTAACATGGAGGTAGGATAATCATTTGACGCTAGCTTGCTTCTTGCAGAAGGATGGCACAGCAACAGGTTCTTTCTTGCTAACCATTGCTAGAAATAGCTTGACGAAAAGAATAGAGCACTTAGAAAACGTTCTCAATGACTTGAAGAAATCACATCTGTTGAATCAGCAAAGCAGCAGCAGCCAAATTCCCAAGAAGGATAGTAACAAAGAAAGGAGTAGAAGGCAGGAGGATATTGAGTACCTGTGCAGAAGCATTGAACGGAAGGTATTCGGTCGAGATAAGGAGCGTGAGATGATTATTAGTATGCTTCGTAGGGGACCTGGTCCGGATACACCAAGCTCCAGTACCAGTAAACATTATTCTGTGATTGGTATATATGGCATTGCAGGGTCTGGGAAGAGTACCCTGGCACAATATGTTTGTGATTATGAGAAGGCCGAAGGCCAACATTTTGACCCTGTCATGTTCATTCATGTGTCTGAGGCATTTAGAGTGGATAAGATATTTCGTGACATGTTGAGGGAGATCAGGAAAGACCGGCAATCTGACAGCAATGATGTGAAAGGTCTACATGATGAGCTGAAGGAAAAGTTGAAAGGAAAACGTTTCTTGTTGGTACTGGATGATCTCTGGGTCAGTGGTGAGAACAGAGAGGAACGTGCTATTCTACTTGGTGTGCTGGATGCTGGGCAGAGTGGAAGCCGAATTCTGGTGACAGCTCAGAAGAAAGATGCAGCTGCAGCTCTAGGTGCTCAGGAGCAAATCCCAATACCGGATATGGAAGAAGAGCAGTACTTCTCAATGTTCATGCACTATGCCCTAGAAGGCACGCGTTCTGATAATGGAAGATTTATAGCAATAGGGAGAAAAATTGCGAAAAGGCTTGGCAGATCACCCATTGCAGCAATAACAGTAGCAGCACGGCTTCAGAGTAACAACAGTATCGATTTCTGGGAAACAACAGGGAACCTTGACATGTTGAATGAAACAATGGGAGCTCTGTGGTGGAGCTATCAGCAGCTAGGTATAGACATCAGGCGATGCTTTTCATACTGCAGCACTTTCCCGAAAGGATACAGGTTAGTACGAGATGAGTTGGTTCGCATCTGGATAGCACATGGATTTGTAAACACCAGGATGAATGCAACAGAGCAATTGGAAGACATAGGCCTCCGCTACTTAAACGAACTACTGACATTCTCATTTCTGCAAGTAGAAAGAACGATTTTTGGTACTGAAACTGAGGCATTCACAATTCATGACCTGCTACACGAGTTGGCTGAGAGGGTTTGCGGAACTGAATGCTTCAGAATTGTTTCAAATGCCCTACCAAAAGATATTCCGCAAGAGGTTCGCCATCTTTTTGTTGGTATTGGGACTGACAATAGAGCAGTGATTACAAAGAAAATTCTGGACTTGGTAAATCTACGCACTCTCATCATTGATGAAGAGTACAGCGAAAATAAGAGGAAAATATTTGCAGCTCAAGATGCTGAGGAATTGGACCACACCTTAATTAACGAAAAACTCTTTGACAGAATGTTCAAGAGCCTGAGGAAACTGCGGGTGCTGATATTTAAAACAAAATACTACCATGAACAAGTGTTGTTAGTTCCATCATCTATTGATCAGATGAAGCATCTACGTTATCTTAACTTTAATATGGACTGTTCCCATCGCAGTGTGGAGCTTATTTTCCCAAGCACATTTAGCAAGCTTTACCATATGCAGAGCATATATGCTGAGAAGGTTTCCTGTGCTGAAGATATCACTAAGAATCTCACTTCGTTGCGGCATAGCTCTTCATCGTCGATGGGATTTGCAAACATTGGCAGGCTGACGTCACTCCAATCACTAGGATACTTCCAAGTAAAGAAGGAACAAGGGTACGAATTGAAGCAGCTGAAGCACCTAAACAACCTTCGAGGTACGCTGGTGATAGATGGTCTCGGGATTGTCAGAAGCAAAGAGGAAGCTCTTGAAGCCCACCTAGCCGGCAAGAAACGACTAAGAAAACTGGAACTGTCATTCTGTGTCCGTCAGGCCGGGGATCCAAACGCCGTGGCAGAGATACTTAACCTCCTTTTACCACCAGAGGATCCTGGGAAGAGCTCACGGTCAACCAACCGTGACAAGGCTACAAGGTACCATGGCTGGATGATGGGGGGCCAGACTCCAGATGCCGCTGCAGAGGTACTTGAGGGCCTTTGTCCCCCGAAGGATCTTGTAGCACTCACAATCAACCGCTACAAGGGTTCGAGATATCCTAGCTGGATGTTAAGTCACCATAATCCAGACGCCCTAAAGCACCTGCAACAACTTAAACTCCATAATTGCAGCCCATTGGAGTATTTTCCTGGAGATATCGAGTTGTTCAGTTGTCTGCGTGAGCTTCAGGTTTCCCTTTGCAACTGGGACAGCTTACCAGAAAATATGGAGCTCCTTGTTTCGCTCCGGAGTGTGTTAATTATGAGATGCGATAAGATGGAGCGCCTTCCGACGCTGCCACGGTCGCTTGTGAAGATTGAAATCCACGGGTGCCGTGTGCTCAGTAGAACCTGCCAAGTAGAGGGACACGAAAATTGGCAGAAGATCCAGCATGTTCCAGAGAGACATATATCTCCGAGAAGAGCATGTCACAATTAAGGAGGATGAAGCCACTGTTCCCCTTACCAGCAACAGCTGAGCTGAGACGGTGAGTCTCTTGTCCGCCTTCCTTTTGTAATCCTAACGGGATTCATACATAACAAGTTGTAATAATATATGATTGTTATGGAGAAAAGACATTAGGTTACTGTGCACCGGCTAAAGCCATGCTGGTCTTTGTGCCAGCCTCGACAGTGACGACACCTTTTGGTGCCAATATCTTCCATGGAGATGTCGTCACTGTGTCCCAATGTACCTCACCACTAGTTTCCAGGTGAAAACTTTGCCTTGTTCCAAGCAAAGCGGTGGCAGTGACTATTGCCGTGTTGTTGTTGGAGGCATGGCTTTGGAGGATTTTGGTGTGGCAGTCCTATTTGTGCATGTACTATGGCCTCCAAATTCAAAGTCTTCAGTAGCGATTTGTATCCAACATATTCTTACTGCCTATTTAAGTGGAAGTGATGATGCTTATATCAGTAGTGTTGCTTTGGTGGTTAAAGTTTCAAGCAACAGATGAAGTTGTTTCTCTTCCCCTATGATGGATTTGGCTTGTGTGAACATTACGAAACAAGCCGCGAAAGCAAGATTACTCAAGCAGCAATTTGGAGATGAATTCCTTTCTTCAGAGTTATTAATGTCGTGGATTCAAATTTTATTGTTGGCACATATGCTACAGTATCTCTTTTGGAATAAATTGTAGCATAATATATTTTCTTCAAATGATGTTTGAAACTGGAAACACTTCATTATCTGTAAACATTGAGCGGCATGACATTTATTTGCTCATTCATACGCCCCGGAAAGATTAATTTGCACCATCTCATACCTGTGGACATCATCACAACAACGTTTTGGCATTGCAGATGAATTACGTGCTGAGCCTGCCTGGCAAGACAGCGCAAGAAGTTCTGGGCAATACAACAATGTACAGGAGCTGAACAACCAGGCCACTGTCATATATGACTCAAGACGATTACTATAAACACACACGACAACATGGTACAAACGCATGCATAGGGAACAAACTAAAAGGCCACTGTCATAATTGACCTTTAGAACCCCTAACAAATATTTGGACCCTTAAATGATTTCAAATGAGAGAATTTTGGACTACAAAGTTGTAGATTTTGTAGGACTCTTGAATTTTGATATAAAATTTTTATATATGTGTCATTTTAATTAGAATTTCCAGAGCGGTTTCTTAAGACAGTCGTCGGCCACCTAAAGACAAGACAACCGCCTCTAGAAATAGAGACATTGATACCAGCGGCTGACATAATCAGCCACGAGTGAAAATATCTTTTCTAATGGCGGTAGCTTAAGTCAACAATGGATAAAATATCTTTTCTGACCGTATGTTATATAGACCACCGTAGAAATGATTTTTCCTTGGGTGTTCTAGGGCATGGGCCCAAAGAGCATTGCACTGGCGTCCCGCCAGTGAAAAAATAGGTAGTGTGCAAATCATTTTTGTACTAGTGCTTCTCTTTAAAGCCGGAATGTGTGGGAGCTCTCTGGCCGTGGACCCGTGTTCAGACGCTCCGGGAGGCAGAGCCCTGTGTGTCCTCTGCCTGAAAGATTGGTGTTCTCCAAAACGTTTTGGCGTTTGACAGATGAATTACGTACTCAGCCTGTCTGGCAAGACATCGCAAGAGAAGTTCTGGGCAATACAACAAGATAAGCAGGTCACTCTCATAACGATAACTGTAAACACACGACACAACATGGTACACATGCAAGCAAAAGGGAACAAACTAAACAGCACCCCACGAACTCTAGCTGGTAACTGAAAACCAGCCAACGACAGTGCTTTGAGCACAGCATGCATCATGCATGGCTCTTTATTATTCATAAACACTACTAAAACACACTGACGACGATCGAGCAAGCCGAGCGGCGACATTTATTATTTGTTTCTTCTCTGACAAAGGTCAAGAGAAGCACCGGCCAGAAGGCCTCATCCAGGAACGCCGCAGCCGGCGCCGGCGTGCAGCGGCTCTCGCAGAAGTTTGTGAACACGTCCGCGCAGCGGTAGGTGCGGACGGGGCCAGGGCCGCCGCCGCCCGGCATCTGGATGCCATCGTCGTCGGTGGTGAGCGTGTACCTGACGCACTTCTTGCACTCCGGGTGGCACCCGTGCAGCGAAATGTCGTTGCATTGGCAGGCCGGCGGGTTCTTCCTGTTGCAAAGACGGCAGTCGTCGCAGCACGGCCACGAACTCGTGCCGGCGCGGCGTCCCCGGCGACGGCCGCTCCAGCTTCTTCCTTGCTCCCTGTGGGCAACAATAACAGCAAGTTGAGTCAAATTTTCTACAGTAGTGTGCTTGGTTCAACGTCAGAAATGATGACCCTGGCAAGGATTTTTTTTTCGACGATCCTGGCAAGGATTCTGACTCGTCACCTTTGCTGCATAACCCAATCAAACTAACGTGCGCACGTCGACTATCATTTGCCAGTGAACGGGAATAAATTTTGTTTTTGAATGTCACCGGGGGATAATTCCCCACCTGAATTTTATTTTGGCCCCAATGGGCACGTCGACTATCATTTGCCAGTGTACAAACTAGCGCGTTCCAGGCCTTGCGTCGGGAATGGGGTGAGTGCATATATATAACCCCCAGCTTGATCACCAGCCGGGCCTGGATCAAGGCCAGTTTAACCGCATGCATGTCACTTCCAGCACACACTACGACTCCAATGGGCACCAGCTCCATAACACCAGAGTCGCCACTCCGAGTAGCCCAAGGAAGCCGGTCACGGAGGCTTCACATGGAAAAAAAAAACTGACGTCTGTGCGGAGGGATCGAGTGTGGTGAATACAGTTTAGGTTTTGTAACTAATCTTTCTTGATTAAATGACCAGTACTAAATATAAAAACAAAACTACCTGAAAGTACCAATGGTACTTCCACCATTGTAAAAGAAATTTGCATATTAGCTCAACAAAAAAGAAGAAGAAGTACCGGATAAAAGGTGGGTGAGGTCTATTCAAGATGACTGGCGCCGGCTAGCAGTTAGGCGTAGGGCTTCGGTATAAATAAAGTGATCCATATAGACTATATAGATTAGAAAAATGTTGAGATTATTATTTACACAATGTAAACTATAAATACTTATATTTTATAAAAAAAAATTCTCTTCATCATGACTCATCTTTATTTCCCCTCTCTCTTTTTTTTTTTTAGCGTGGACCACCTTTATATCCTACATGCAGAGCACCTACTCCGATCCTACATGGGAAAGCCGGTGCTTTTGGCTCTCTGCTCGTTTCCGCCCCATCTGTGCCCCTTTTCGCAGAAAAGATGGATACGGCAGCAGCTGCTGCTAGTAGCATAGTACACTACTGTGGCACACGACCAAGAGCGAATTATTGAGGCTGCCGTGTTGGTACGTTCACGAGGTGTGAAATGCTGCATAAAGCCCAAGGCGAACCAAGAACTGTGTTCTCACTTCTCACTGTTACCTCAAAGTGTAAATGAGTTGGTTATAGTGTGTTTTTTTTAATTATCACTGAACATGCACAGTAGATCCGAGCCATTTGGGTCCTGTTTTGCAGAGATCTATGGAACTGGTCACCTCTAGCTTTAAAAAAAAATACTAGACCTAGAGCCGTAGGCAATGTTAAATATATTTACATGACTTATTTATTATATTTTATACTAGATCTACATGCCGTGTAGGCAATGTTTGATTGTTATTGGACCGTCCAAACTGCAGCACAGGTGTGTGGGCGGCCCACTTGGGCTCTGCCGGCCGTGTGGCAGACGTAGCCGGAAAGGTGGACGAGCACATGCACCGTCGTCCTGTGGCCGGTCGAGACGAATTAGTGAGCCTGCCGTTGCCGGACAAGCAAGCCCAAGTACACACAGTCACGTTAGAATGGATCACGGTTTTCCATTTTGTAGTATCACTGGTATACTTGCTGTATATATATGAAAGATTAGAGCAAGCAAAAATACACGTTCTCTGGAAGAACACATGAATAAGAAGACTATAAGAGAGGACAAGCTCATAGGAAAAAACATAGAAAACTTTCCTTTGTCTTTGATTTCATAAAAACCATAGGAAAAAAACATCCACACTAACCTCATTCTTTATTGTTCCTGTCATCAGATTTTTTTCCTACGGTTCATCTAACCACCTATGTATCTCTACTGTAAAAGAGCGAAGGAATTAGAAATAGACTCTCGTCTAAACATTTCCTATCCGCGTTGATTCTTGTGTCTTTGCCTGATCTGACGAGCGGACACGCGTTTCTGTCCTGCGGACGTCCCGATGCCTCTCTTCCAAATTTTTTTTGTCACCGCTCTTGCACCATACCCGCTTGCAGCGGTTCCTTTCCCGCTCCCACCGCGAGACCACGCGCGCAGCGACGGACGACGCGGGGATTCTCCCCTGCCTTCCACACCGCAGTCGGCCACGCCGCCGCCGCCGCCGCCGCCGCTCCCTCGGCACCGGCCCCAGCCCTCCAATTCCACACACGACTTCCCCCGGGCGGCGGACTTCGACGCGACTTCCCCGCGTTCGCCTCCCTCCTTGGCCGCCTCCGACGGCCGGTCCTCGTGCAACCCCCGCCCCTGTTCCTGGCCGCGCGACGCCGACCAGACGACCTCCAACCCACGCCGCACTTCCTGAGCTGCTTCAAGCGACGGCGACCAAGGCCTCAACGCAGGTCTGAAGCCTTTCCCCTCCCTTTTCTTTTGCGAGGGGTGCCCGGAGGCGGAGATTGGGCGTCGGTCTCCCCTCCCCACGACCCATCTAGCGTTTCCCCTCCCAATTCCTCCCCCCTGCTTGGCGAGTTCTCAGGTACGAGGAAGAGTAACCTCGACTTGTTTCCGTCCAAAATTCGAATCTTTTGCAAATTGCATGCTTGGATCATCGGAATGTTCGGCTTGCCTCTAAATATTGCTCACCGTCTCTCTCTTCCATCTTGCAGTCTCCAAGCCCGCTGGATTCCCTGACCACCCGCACAGAGGATTCGGGAGGCCCGAGAGCTGTTCGC